AGAAAGAAAGAAAGAAAGAAAGAAAGAAAGAAAGAAAGAAAGAAAGAAAGAAAGAAAGAAAGAAAGAAAGAAAGAAAGAAAGAAAGAAAGAAAGCAATGTTACAGTATGCAAAAATACTTCTGAAGTATTTCTCTGTATCTTGGGCACCTAATAAAGAAACAAAAACAAAAACAAACTGTCCTTCCAAACCTGTCCTTTGCCATCACCTTAACAACAGAACCAGAATAACAGCCAAGTCACTTGCAATTCAAGGTCTACTTAGCTTGACAAACCCAAAGCAACTCCACTGTTCTTCAGTCTGTGTGCCACATGTCTGTTTATGGCCAGAACCCTGCTCACCACCCTTCATGGCAAAGTTCAAGTCACTTTCTCACTAAGGGATTTTTAGAAAGAAAATTAAAAGTGCTGCCTCGGCAACTGACCTCATTAGAGCCTTTTTTTAAGAAAGTTTTTTCCCTCTGAGAGGAAGTAACAGCTTCCCAAAGTTCCCCAGGCACTGAGAAATGGCTCATGTTTCTCTCCCCCAAGCCACAGACGGATTTGTTTAAGAAGTCAGGCCTTATACCAAACCTGCCAAAGCCATTAGTAAAAGGAAAGAACTATTCAAGCCTTAATCACGTAATCTGTCTTTAACAATGACAAACATACAAAACATGGAAAGCTTGTGCTTTAAAGATGTATTTAAAGTCATCTCCAATTTTGAGGAGAAATGAATGAGCTCTTAAAAAATTAACAGAAGTTGTTCAGTGGTTTGTTTTAAATTGTTAAGTTGATCATAGTAAAGATTTAGGTATCAACTAAGTTGGCTCTGTTAGCAGTTAATGATCGTACCCACTGGCAAATGTGGGATCCAGCAAATGTTTCCCTCTCGCACAAAGCAAAAGGCCTCAGTCTGTACACATGGCTACTTATCAAGAGGTATAGAGTTCTTATTCTGGTATAGTGCTTTAAGTGGAAATAAATAAGTGTTGTTACTTCCCTCTATGGCATACAAATCTGTAACACATACAAATCTGTCTATGAATCTATAGATTCATTGTTTTAATGAACAGAAATTTAAAAGAACAAAGAAAGTTATAAATCAAATTGATATGAGCCAAATTCAAAGTGTCAGGAAGCAACTTTTGTTAACTTCAAACATACCAGAATTTCCCTATTAAAAGAGATTTAATTGATTTTCTATTCAATTCTACCTTATGTTGGTATCATGGAATTAATAAAAAACAACAAAAAGAAAAGAATAAAGATTTAAGACCAAAGACAATAAAAAAATAAAGAAGCAATAACTCTGACTTAAGATTTCAATAAGCTCATTATGGTTTCTGTCTGTCTTCTGGCCAAACTCATCACCCACTGTGCCCAGACTTCCTCTGCCCTGTAGTTTGAATATGAGTTTGTTTATACAAAGTTTTTCAAAAAGTCAGAAGACTGCTCCATTCATTTCACACTCTGTCTGAATGCATCACAAAGGTGCAAAGGTGGAGGGTTACCTACAGTATTTATTTCAATGAGGTCCCAGGACAATACTTACCCTTTACTCTCAAATATTTTGTTAAATTTTTTCATGTTAGGTAAAACACAGTTTTCTGTGGGAGTATATGAACCACTGTATTTTCAAGATTTTATTGAAATAAACTCACAAGCAATTTATTATTGATCATTTCCAGGTATGAGACACCACACATCCCCCAAATAGTCACACTGCCCCTGTTCCTACCTTTAATCAAGTGCTTTTGTAGCTTTAGGTTCCCAGTGGACACACTAACCCTCTCTTGCAGCCTGACCTCCATTTCTTTGTGTAGTAAGGAACAGTTAAGAGTGCTTCTCTTATTCAACTCTGCAAAAGTTCATCTGAGTCCTATTGGAGCCAAGTTTACATCACAGCTGTGATTATTTATTTACTATGCCTTTCCTTACTGATCTGAAACAGCTACAGGCACATTAATAGTGCATCCATTTTGCAGGGGGTTTCTTTTGACAATTTTTTTTTATTAATAGATAGACTACACACTGTAATTGTGGAGTCGGGTGGATGAGCGGTGCTATATGGGTGCGTGTAAAATTCCCAGTATGTGCTATATGCTATAATATCAGTTTGGAATCAGTTGTTCTCTGTACTGTTGTATACTGGCCCATCTAAAGCATTGTTTAGGGAATTTTTTTAATAAGGGGTTTTCAAAGTGTGGTCAGTGGCCCCAAAGGACTGCAAGGGAATGCTAGAGGTCCTCGGAAAATCAGATGGAAAATAAAAACAAATAAAACAGAAATAAATATGCAAAAATATGGTATCTTATCATTCTATTTTTAGCACCATAGACTAAATTCTATTTATTTTTAAACAGTAAATCTACCATTTAAATAAAATCCATATCAAACAAATACATGTAGTATTAAATGTCCCCTTAAATCATTGAATTTAGCATTTATTCATTTAATAAAACAAATAAATAATTAAAAGTGATAATAAATATTATAATGTGCATTTAAAAATATTATGACAATAAATAACTAGATGTCAGTTTAAAAAAATTATTCGTTTAAATATACTTTAAAAAAATGTTATTCCTTTATTTCATCATCATAAGTTTTTTGTGATCTTCATTGGTCAAACTTAGCGGGATTAGTGTGGCGTCTGCATACCCCATCTGATTGGCTGTTTAGAGTGCTTTAGAGAGAGTTAGCTGGTGTTAGTAAATGGGTGGGAATGAAATTGATCCTGTCTCTTGTCCCCCTTTATCTCACCATAATCTTCTAATGGTCAATGACATGGGTATGCTACAGACAGATAAAAAGTCCAGCCCCACCACAATTCTCATACTTGCGTTGTTTATTTATTTCTCTTCTTATTACTGAACAGTTTGTTAAAAGGTTTGTTATTCATTGCAACTATAATAGGATGTTAAAAACATGTTATGTCATATTTGTATGCAAAAAATTTATTCAAAATCGGTAAAAAAAAAAAAAAAAAAAAAAAAAAAAAA